TAAAATTAAAAATAACTTGGCTATATATAGATTGACAAACGAAAGCCAAATTAATTCATTCATTACACTTATTTAGTTTTTTCCCATTAAAAATTTTCAACTTTAATCATTAAACACTATTAAGCATAAACATTATTGTGAAAATTAATTCCCTTTCATAAACATTTAATTGCTACATTTTACTCCCTTTCCATTTTTGTATTCACTAAATTTCTTCCATTATCTTAAGTAACACTTTCAATTTCATTGTATCCACAATTATTTATACTTATATTACACGCCCTTTGAATCACAACTTCAATCATTTGTATAACAAATATATTTACAAAAACACCCACAAAAATATATGTATGTATATTTTTAATTACAGTTTGAAATATTGTTTTAATCCCTTCCCACCGAAATTTGCAGCGAAAAGTTAAAGGGTGTGTATTAGTAGAAAGCTTAAGCATTAAAATTGTTATAATTTTAGTTGAAGAACTCTAGAATGTATACATTGTAGTTTATGTGATATATGAGTATAAACATAATTGTCACAAATCCTTTTGTCATATATAATAATGATAAATGACTTGAAAACACAACGGTAACATAGCTAAAATTGTTATGACATAAACACTTATAAAGACAAACACATACATACATATATGCCGGATCAATAGGGTGTTACAATAAAATATGATCTGAGAAATGAAAGAACTTACTCTGCACTTGACTATATTATGGACGATATACTTCACTGCAATTTAGACTATGACAATCTATGTGAATTACAGCTTTGACAATAGTCAGAACTATCGACAAGACTCTAGTCTAAAGTCTCGTCTTGACCATAGCAATGTCAATAGTTAATAAATTTTGCCTTAAATATGAACTTGACTATAGTCTGAACTACAAACTGTATCATAACATTGATTATTTACTGAACTATAGCCTTCACTGTAGTGTGGACTACTATATCCTTCACTATTGTCTAGACTATAGCCTTCACTGCAGTCTTGACTAAAGCCTCCGCTGTAGTATCCACTATAGTCTGGACTATACCCCTCACTATAGTCTGGAATATAGTCCTCATTATAGTCTGGACTATAGCATTCACTGTATTCTGGACTATAGCATTCACTATAGTCTGGACTATAGCATTCACTACAGTCTGGGCTATAGCATTTACTATAGCCTAGACTATAGCATTCACTATATCCTAGACTATAGCATTCACTATAGCCTGGACTATAGCACTCACTATAGTCTGGACTATAGCATTCACTATAGTCTGGACTATGGCATTCACTATAGCCTGGACTATAGCATTCACTGTAGTCTGGACTATAGCATTCACTATAGTCTGGACTATAGCATTCACTATAGTCTGGACTATAGCATTCACTATAGTCTGGACTATAGCATTCACTATAGCCTGGACTATAGCATTCACTATAGACTGCACTATAGCATTCACTATAGACTGGACTATAGCATTCACCATATTCTAAACTATAGCATTCACTACAGTCTGGACTGTAGCATTCACTATAGGCCGGACTTTAGGGTCATGAACTATTAATATGACCCTACTTTAAAGTTTCATCTTGACTATAGCAATGCCAATAGTCTATAAATTTAGCCTTTAATAACAACTCGACTATAGTCTGAACTATAGCCTGTATCACAATATTGATTATTTACTGAACTATAGCCTTCACTGTTGTCTAGACTATAGCCTTCACTGTAGTCTAGAATAAAGCCTCCACTATAGCATCCACTACAGTCCCCTGTAGCCCTCACTTTAGCCTGGACTATAGCATTAACTATAGTCTGGACTCTAGCATTCAATACAGTCTGGACCATAGTATTCACTTTAGACTGGACAATAGCCATCACTAGTCTCGGCTATAGCCTTTACTATAGTCTGGACTGTAGCCTTTACTTTATTCTGAACTATAGCCTTCAATATAGTCTGGACTAGAGCATTCACTCTAGTCTAGACTATAGCCAGGGCTATAGACGATAGTCTGGATTATGTACATCGCTAGATTTTGGTCTATGGCCATTTATCCGAATAATAGCCTTGAGTATGGTATAACCTTGACACTGGTAAAATGTATCGCCTTGACTAAAGCTAAGACAATATTCCAGACTTTAACCTTAACTATGGTTTGTACTGCAGCCTGGATTATAGCATTGATTAAAGTCTAGACTATAGCTTTCACTACTGCTTAAACTACAGTATAGACTATATAATTCACTACATTCGCTATTGTCTAGGATATAGATTTAACCATAGTCTAGACTACAGCTTTGACTATAGTCTGAACAAAAGGTTTGGCTATAACCTTCACTGTAGTCTACCCTGTAGTCTGGACTATAGTCTTAACTTTAGTCTGAACTTTTGCCCTGTCTTTAGTCTGGACTATAGCTTTTTTTATAGCTTTAGCTGTAGTCCCGAATACATCCTTGGCTTTGGTCTGAACGATAGCATTGACTATAATCTGCACTACAGCCTTGAATATAGTTTGGATTTAGCCTGGAATATTTTCTGATCTATGATAAGTGTGACTTAATTAACCATAGTCATGTTTCATTAAAAACCTTGAAATACAACAATTCTTGTTTTATTCAAAAGCAATTTGAAGCATCCTAATATTCATATATGTTTCTACTCACAGACAGACAACCATACTTATATATGAAAACATAGACAAATAATAGATGCAGACAGACAGACGAACAAAAAGTGTGTGGACAGACATGCATTTAGCGGGCTACCAATTGTATATGACGCCCTTTTTTCTATGCACAAACATTCACTAAAAATAAAGAATTACTAAAACATTTATTTAAAGTTAACAGATATAGTGTAAAAATTGTCTTTTTTGCTGTTGCTCAGTATTAAAATATCAGTAATATAAGTGGATGTAATTTTAAATTTTTATAAAAAATATTTATACCTATTATTTTTAAAAAGTAGATTTTTGTGTAATTTTTCATGTAATGTTGTTTTTTTTTATTTCTTAAATTAACAATTTTAATTGTTATTGTAAAATATTGTTGACAAATTTTAAGATAATTTTCAAAATAAATTTTTTTTCTACATAATAATTATATTCCTTTAAATAACTGCTTTAAAATGGTAATAAACTATTTTACTTCATTCCTATATGTAGGGAAAATTTAAAATATTCTGTTATATGTAATACATATAGAAACATATAAAATATTACTAACAACTATATTTATGCATAAACATGCATTTCTATAAAAAAAATATGTATTTGCAAATGTTTGTGTGTGCGAAACAATTTACTTACATACATATGTATGTATGTGTGTATACACTTTAATAGTATATGAGTAAATAATGCGTATACATACATACATATGTATAACATATGATACATAAATGTCGGTATATAAATATGTAGAAATATTTGTTATAAATAACTTTATGAAGCCAATTTGCATAAACATAAATTTTAATGCTTTCACTTCTTTCTTCATATTATTAAAACCATGCCCCTATAAGTAGATAAGTATTACGAGCTGGTGTTGATGTAAGTCCATCTTAAGGCTTAGTATAAGTCTTTGATACAATACAACATGTCCATTTGTCCGTTTGTTTTTTTCGTTGTTGCTGCTGCAACAGCCTTAATTTGGAGGTTTAGCATCGATGTCCGAGCCTAAAAATGTATAGGAAAGAAGTGAAGTAGGATTTGCTGAGCAGTTGAAAAGCTTGATCATAAGCTGGATATTAGACATTGCTCCATCTCGATCTCAGTTGTGCCAAAACTACTCTAGTTTTTCGGAGTAGGTACTATATTCATGTGGTATCGTGCTATCGCAAAGCGAACACATATCCACATATGTCTTCCTCGTATTTTCGAAGGTCCAACCTGACATACCTAACTGTGTTATGTTAAAATATGGATGACTTTTTCGGTGACTTCCTGAAAGGAACTATTTTATATCTTTATTTCTTAATATAGGTGGTGTTTTCAGATAATTTGCCAGTTACAGTTCATAGGGCAGCATTTTCACAGCTATTAATGTTTTTCCACTTCATATTACTAAGCGAAGGGGCCCATGCTGTTACAGTTTATAGGGCAGAATTTTTACAGCTATTAATGTTTTTCCACTTCATATTACTAAGCGCAGGGGGCCATACCGGAGCAGCTTAACTTACTACTACTTTATCCATAATCCAAGTGCTTCCAACTAACGTTTTGAAGACCATTAGTCTAATTAGCAATTCTTACGAGATTGTATTGGTATGAGCAGAGGAAGGAAATATACTATGAACTGTGAACTGCAAAAATGTTGGGTGGAAAACAGTCGGAATTACCACAGAAGAAGACTACAAGAGTTAAATTGATTTCCTTTCTCCAGTTGGTGAGGAGGGTTGCTAACAACTTCGCTGATAATAGTCAAAAATTTCGCCCAGTAAAGATCTGATGCATTAGCTGTGCGAGGAATTTATAGAGGAAAAAGTTAAAAAACTGCAGCTATGGAATCCACTTTGGAGTACATCTTGTGTAACTTTAAGGGGTTAAGAGTGTTTGAGTCCAAACTTGTGGATTACATCGAAAGACTTCGACAGGTTATGCGCCACTAAGACCGTCTTTTTACATAGCCCTGTTAAATCTGAATGGCAATGGCGTTTAGTGCTGTGAAAATGATTTACAATTTCCCTGAAATCATGCTGGTGTTGAGCTGAGAATAAACCGTGGTAAGAAATTTCAAAAAGCTAGATTTAAAACCACTATGTTCATAAGTAGGGCCACCATCCAAAACAGTTTTTAATTTATGACATATTGTTTAATGTTGGGTATAGAAGATTCGGCATAGCCGAATATTACACTCTTCCTTTTTTTCGATATGTGGATTGAAAAAATATCTTTATGTATATGTATTTATGTGTGTGTGTATGTGACTACATACAAACGTCACTTGTATATGTAGTAGTAATCATATGTATGTGTAAATTCTTTTCTTTTTCAACTTACTTTTTTAGTGTAGCCGCTAATGCTAAATCAGGACGAACATCAAAACGACTTTGCATATAGAAACGCAATAAATTATCACGTTCATTTTCACGTAATCCTTCCTCCAAAGCTAAAGCACCCAACGAATGATACGATTCAGATTCAGTGATACCAAATAATAAATCATAACTGCAAAGGAATGAAAAAGATGAAAAAAAAAAAAAAACATTACAGTAGAAAATGAAAAATATGGTTTTAACAAATGACTTTCAAATGTATGGATTTATTCCAGAGGGTGATTATATCGAAATTGCTAGCAGAAGAACAAACACACAAACAACAAACATATTGAAGGCAAATTATTGAGTTCAATGAGATCAAGTAGTTAAGTAAATTATTTATACAATAGTTCAAAGCTGCTAAAGCTTAATTTTAATCTTATTCTATAGATGTCTGTTGAGATTCTAATAGAAAATTGTATTCTGCTAAATCTTCTGTTAATTTAGGTGTGAATTTACTATTAATTTCCCCTTTAAGTCCTAAGAATTTGATATGAGTTAAATGGTTTAGGTAATACTTATGGTTTCATAAATCTCTTACAAACGCCTGATAATTTAGTTTTCATTAGTTACAATAAATAACAATTGTTCAGTAAATTCCATCACAATATAACAGGGGATTATTTTCTCTTTAACATCCAAAATAATTACCTTTTTCTTGTTACCTGCAAACTTAACTGAATAGCACTCATGCATAATATTTAATTAATTTAAATTTATAAAGATTTGTTTTACATTTCTTAAGTTGTTCTCTATGCTGCTGTTTAAACACGTAAAATTTTCTTGGGAATTGTTGCATAAGAAAAAACTGTTAAAACTTTCACTTTATTTTATTTATTTTGTTTTTGTTACACCATATATTTGTTAAATTTGTTCTTGTTTTTAAATAAATAAAAGCTGGTATAAAACATTATTTCTTTTTTTTTAATTTTTAATTATAACTTGTATTATACATTTATTCTTTTTTTTCTTCATTCCTTCTGTTATTGCAATTTACTTAGGAATCTTAAGGCATCAAGATTTTCGATTCGTTAAGTTTGTTTTGTTACAGTGTTTGTTACTTTTTGTGGAAGGAATTGTTAAATCGAGGTAAAGGTTGGTAATGTTTTCATAAAGACCAATTTAAAACAATATTTTCCATAAAAACAATTTTCATTAAAAATCAAACTTTTCATTAAAAATAAAATTTTCCATTAAAATTTAAACTTGTAACTAAAAAAACAAAATTTCAATTAAAATAAAATTTTTCATTATAAATAAAATTTTTCATTAAAAAAAAAATATTTTATTAAAAATAAAATTTTTCATTAAAAATCTAATTTTTCATTATTTTTCATTAAAATTTAATTTTTTTGTAAAAATTTAATTTTTTTGTAAAAATCGAATTTTTCATCAAAAATTTAATATCTGAATTTTTTAAATCAATCCTTAAATATAAAATTTCTTTTTCTCCTGCTGGTATAGTGTACATCTACTTTATGTTCGTCTCACTTAAACATTTGCTCTTACATTTCTAATGCTTAGAAAGTGACAGGTTGCTGGTATAATTGCAAATTCTTTTTGATTTAAAGGATATATGGGTGATTGCATACAATATTTATTAGATTATTTAACCAATTAAGAGATTTAAGTAAGATCTCGTCCTTGAGCTAGCTATAGTATCTACCGTAAAGTCGCCTATAATATGTGTTTAAGCTGGTTGTAGACCAGTCAATGAACTCGTCTGAGGTCTCGTCGTTATCTCATTAACAAACTTGTATATAGTTTCATATATAATTTCTTCTATAGATTAGTCTGTAAGATTGAAAGCTCCATAACGTCTCCTTTATAGTCCCGCCTTTTGACTTTCTTACACTCCTGTCTATAAATTTGTCTACTTATACTTACGCCTTTTGACTCGACTGTCGACTCCTTTAAAGACTGGTCTATATAGATGTATATAAATTCGTCTGTAGTCTCGCTTATAGACTTTTCCATTTGTCTCAAAAAAAAGGCCGGAAGACTCGGATATAGCCTCTTTTATAGACTTGTTTGTAGATTTAGCTATATTCTCGTTTTTAGACTTATCTTGTTTAGCTTTTAAACTTGTCTGTACAGACTGATCTATTGTCTTGTCATAAGTCTAAAAAAGGCATATAGACTTTTATATAGACTCGTTAAAAGTCTCGTCTGTAGACTCGTTGACTCGGCTATAGCTTCTTTTATAAACTTTTCTTTACAGTCTTGCCTAAAGACGCGTCTGTAGTCTTGCCTACAGACTCGTCTATAGTCTTGCCTACAGACTCGTCTTTAGTTTTGCCTACATACTAGTCTTCAGTCCTGCCTACAGACTCGTCTATAGTCTTTCTACATTGTAGTGCCTCTATAGGCGTAACTGTGGACTTAACTACATACGAGGCAACATATAAGTGGCCTACAGACTCGCCTACAGTCTTGCCTACAGATTCGTCTTTAGTCTTGCCTACAGACTCGTATATAGTCTTGCTACAGGCTCATCTGCAGTCTTGCTACAGACTAATCTATAGTCTTGCCTACAGACTCGTCTATAGCCTTGCGAAGAGGCTTTTTAATGGTCTCATCTATAGTTTGGCATAACGACTTGTCTATGCACGAGTCTATACATATACATATGAGACAACATATAAGTGGCCTACAGACTCGTCTGTGGTCTTGCCTACAGACTCGTCTATAGTCTTGCCTACAGACTCGTCTATAGTCTTGCCTACAGACTCGTCTATAGTCTTGCATATAGACTCGTCTATAGTCTTTCCGACAGACTAGTCTATAATCTTGCACAAAGTCTTGTCTATAGTCTTGCGAGTAGGCTTATTAATGGTCTCATATATAGTCTGGCATAACGACTTGTCTGTGCACGAGTCTATACATAGTTGTGCCTCTATAGGCGAAACTGTGGACTTAACTACATACGTGACAACATATAAAGTGCTCTTTAACACCAAAGTGAAAATATTTATTGAGGGTTGATAAAATTTATCATGGAAACATCTACACAAATAACGTATTTAATTACAGTACGATGTTACATGTACATGAGCTAAAAAGTAAAAACAACAAGTGATGGGAATAATGTGCTTTTTTGTTTATACTTCATTAATTTAATTGACGTTTTTGTAAATTTCTTACTCTTTGGCAACAATGAGAAATCAAAGTTTTTTTTTCTCATTGAAAGTAAAGTGAATTTCTAAGGAAAAAGAGATTACTTTTTAGACTATTTATAAGAAAAACAAAATAACTTTGAATAGAAATTGCATTTTAAATGTCGAAAGAAACGGTAATTATAAAGAAATTTTCTTTAGGTTTAACAAATAGAATACTTTAACAAACAATGGATGATTGCATAATGAATGTATTAAATTAAACCCTAAAGAACAGAATACAATAGTATGAGTCTTTAACAAAAATTTAAAAGCTTGTTAATGCTTTATAAAAAGTTTTATTATGTAGGTTTGTAATGTACTGTAAAGGATATATCTTATACTTTAAATGCTAGCAAAAAACAAGTGAAAATATAAACCTGCAGACATTAAAAAATATATTTTTTAAAAGTACTGGCATTTTCAAACAAAATTCTATAGTTTCCTAATGCAATAAGGAAATATTTGGAATAGTTTCGTTTTCTCCTAATACCTTTGATTTGGTTAGAGAGTAGTAGGAAAGATTAAAATAGTTTTTTTCCCCTTTTCATTTGCTTGAGAATTTCCTTCTTTTTTTCATACATACCGACTAAAATGTTCTGTGTATTGTCCCATTACTTTATAGGGTTGATTGGGTATGACATGTCCATCAACAATTGGACCCAATGAAGTTGAAAACTGTGACAATGTTGTACGTATTTTTAAAATATCTTGATATCTGAAAATAGAGAGAAAAATTTTATGGAATAGTTAGGTGTATTCTTTATTATATGGCAATTTTAATGTACAATATTCCTGGTAATGATTAATTCTTGTATTCTAGTTCTTTTATTCTAGTTCTTTTTTGAAAATTATTGTGTTTCACAATCCTATGTATTTTAAATGTATTTCAAGATTCAAAAGAAATTGTTAGAATAATTATAAATTCAACAAAATACTTCTCTTTTAAATTAAAATGTTTTAATTAATTATTTAGAAGTGCTTTTCTTTTTATTTATAATTAAGCATTTTGTAAATTATTTTTAACAAAATTTCTCATAGTAGGTACTAAGAGTTTATTTACAGTTGTTCAGCTTTGTATGTACAAGGGGCAACAGTGATTGGGCACCCCAATTGATTGGCTATGCTCAATCAAGAGGGTTAAATGTCATCCCAACAATACCAAATATGCACCGATCGTGTAAAAATGTTATAGTGTGATTTATGTATATAAGAGCAATATTTGTGCTAAATGTATGGACATCAATATTTGGTAATGAGTTATGTGCGTTTAAGTGATTTTCTGAAGAGGACCCTGTATGGGAGCTATGACCAATTATGGACCGATTGGAAAAACATTTCACAGTAATATTTCTATATATAAGAGCAATACTTGTGCCAAATTTTATATGGATATCATAATTAAGTAATGAGTTAAGTGCGTTTAAGTGATTTTCGGGAGTGGACCTTGTACGGGAGCTATGACCAATTATAGACCGAACGGAAAAAAATTCACAGTAACATTTCTGTATATTAGAGCAATTCTTGTACCAATTTTTATATGGATATCTTAATTTAATAATGAGTTATGCGCGTTTAGGTGATTTTCTGAAGAGGTCCCTGTATGGGAGCTATGACCAATTATGGATCGATCGGAAAAAGTTTTACAGTAATATTTCTGTATATAAGAGCAATACTTGTACCAAATTTTATATGGATATCTTAATTTTGTAATGAGTTATATGCGTTTAAGTGATTTTCGGGAGGGGGCCTTGCATTAGAGCTATGTCCAATTATGGACCAATCGGAAAAACATGTTACAGTCATTTTTCTGTATATAAGAGCAATACTTGTACCAAATTTTATATGGATATTTTAATTTAGTTATGAGTTGAGTGATTTTCGGGAGGGGACCTTGCATTGGAGCTATGTTCAATTATGAACCGATCCAGAAATGTTTTTCTGCGAATAAACACTATTTTAATTTGTAAATTTTGTGATGATATCTGTCGGAAGTTATTAACAATAAACTCATTTTCCGGGAATATGTACTTTTGTATGGGAGGTATATAAAATTGTGGACCGATTTCGGTAATTTTCAACAACGAATTTACGATGATTTACGTGGAATTATATTGCATAGTTTTCGTGAAAATTACATTAGAATGTGTAAAAAATGCTTGTTTTTTTCGGAGTTGTTTTAAATTTTGATTCATAACTTTTCCTGATGTGAACCGATTTTGGTCATTTCAACACCAAAAAAATCAGGAAAATTAAGAATATTTGGGTAAAATTTGGTTAAATTCTATTGCTTCGTTTTATCGTGAGCGTGTTTTACACAGACAGACAGACGGCCATAGCTAAATTGACTCAGAATTTGATAGGGACCCCGTATATATATACTTTGTTGGGTCTCAGATGAATATTTTTTGGTGTTACACACGGAATGACAAAGTTATATATACCCTCTATCACCACTGATAGTGGCGCAGGGATATTACGATGGTACTTATAGGTTTATATAGGTTTACGTTTACAACTGTACAAAATTGGACTAACAGATAAGGACAAATATAGACCATGTGGAGAAACAATGAATCACTTTATATAAATAATAAGATCCAAATATCTTGGAAGCGACGTTATTTAAGATATTATATATCTCAGGGCATGAAATATTTTACATGAAAAAGTGCGCTCAGCAGCCTCAATGGTGTCTGTTTTTATATACATATATCTAAACTAAATTTCTAAAGATAATGTTTATTTAAATAATTCCCAAAAAGTAGCTGCTTATTATAAAGACATTTTGAATGTATTAAAATCTCATCTAATCACCATCACAATTGATTTGTCACTAACACCTTTTTAATAACATAATTATCCTAATTCTATTGCAGATTTGAAATGAATCCTTTTTTTTTTGGTAACAATCGTAATGCCCAACAAGTTTTCCGAATAAAAGCATTAAGTTGAAAAAAAGATGTTTGCCGAAAAAAAAAACAATATCTATTACTGAGTTCAATCATAATCCCATTTTTAGCCAAAGTCACACGTGTCAAAGGTGTGTAGTTAAGTCGATTTTGGGGTTATTTGTTAAAGTTATATAAACTTAATATTTTTAACACATGTAGGTGTTATTGTGGGATATTGTGAATAACCAGCAGTTTTATAAGGAGTTAATGTATCCATCTAACTAGAAGTAATTTAGAATTATTTTCTTAGTTTGTTGCCCACTTGTTTGTAATTTTGTAAACGAGACTACAGAAGTATATAAGTATTACTCATTTCGACATAGCCACCACGAATAGCTGGGTAAGAACTATTTTAGGAGTGGATTTTCTATTCTTTATTTTACCAACGCAGTTTATAGAATTGGATTTTTTTTGCGAGATAGACCTCATGTGTTTTGCAAAACAGCAAGCATTTCATATTTATGGAAAAATATATTTATAGTTTTTAAATTATCTTTTGTCAAACGTGATTTTCAAGTTAATAGAATCCGTGTGAAAAAAGGTACACAAAAGTTGCCTAGCATTTTAATTAATATTTGTATAAAAAAAAAATCTTTTAACAAATGTCAATAGCAAAATAAGGACACAGCAGGTATTTTTATAAAATAATTAAATATTATTTTTTTTAATGAACATTATAAAAATAATTAAAAGTCATAATAAAATAGAGTTTTTCTTAATTTGGAATCGAGAGGGGTTTAAATATTTATTTTTTATTCTACTCAGTACATACGCATTATTTATGAGACACTCCTTTGCATAATTCCTAAAAAGTATTAACACTACAAACAAATCCTTTTCAATGAAATTTTATTTTTAAATCCTTAGTGTAAATAACATGTTTGAACTTGAACCTGTACAAATCTTCATTACTTGGAAATTTTATTTTTAATTTCTTTATTTAGGTTTTATCTTTCATAAGCTTTATACATTTTTATACCCTACACCACTTTAGTGGGGAGGGTATATTGGGTTTGTGCTGATGTTTGTAACATACAAAAATATTCGTCCTATACCCACCTTAAAGTATACCAATCGGCTTAGAATCGATTAAGCTATGTCCGTCCGTCTGGCTGGCTAACTGGCTGTCCATGTAAACCTTGTGCGCAAGGTACAGGTCGCAATTTTCAAGATAATTGGATTAAATTTGGAACACACGCTTTTTTTAAGGACGGAGCCTATTGAAAATGGTTAAAATCGGTCCAAAGCGGCAAAGTCTTGATGACCTCGCCAAATTTCATAAAGATCGGACGCCATTTGACCCTAGCTCCCATACAAAGTCTCCTTCAGAAAATTATTTCAATGCCCAAAGTTAACTTATAAACACAAATATCGCGATGAAATTATATAAATATAAATACATCCACAAAACTTTATCGGGTTTGGTCCATGTTTACCCCTAACCCGCCATATAAAGCCTCTTTCAGAAAATTAGTTTTTCATCCATAAATTGCTTAAATGTATCGGAACAAGGTAATAGAAGATCATTGCTTTATTATAACAAATAAATCACATTTAATATTCATAACTGGTGTAGGGTATCATATGGTCGGTGACGGCCGACTATACTTTCTTACTTGTTTACTACTAAATACGTTTTTACTTTTGTCATTAAAAGAAAGTATTAAGAATACTTTAGTAAAATTTATGTTTAAATAGAAATTTAATTTTATTTATAGAACTTGTTTTATAAAAACTCATATTTATAACATAAGTAACTACGCACTTGCTTTTTACAATAAACCTAAAATTTATAAGAAAAATATGTAAAAAAAAACTATATAAAATATTTTCTAAACAACTGATTTTAAAATTACATTATGAATTATTCATGTAGTTTTTTTAAAAAAAAGGAAAACTTTCACTTTGCCAAAATATTAGGGGTAAACAAATTTGAAAATTGTTTATGTAAAATTCTATAGATAATCAAATTCGAAACACTACATTAAGGCCGCAATCGAGCCTGGAATTGCTGTGATGATATTTAGATCTAACTTAAACGAAATCCAAAGGACGTGTTCCATAATGTCACTTTCCTCTCTGCATGAATTTTGAATTCCTACTTCCATCGTACTAACTTTTACTGAGTATTCTTCGTCGTCCTGATCTATCCGGGGTCACCTCGTAAGATTTTGTAGATGGTTGTGTTTCTCGCTCATGTTTGTAATTCAGACGTACTTCCTTGAACTACAATGAACATTAACACTTTCATTATAGATTACAAAGGCAGACAATTTTTTAATTCAGAAACCAAGGTATACTATTCTAAAGGATTGAGCTGCACTGGACCCGAATCTGGTCGAATCTCAGAATTTCCCCATCACATGCGGGATTTAAAATATCATATCCTAGAGTTTGAAAACACGACCTTTTTGAGACGTTATAACAGAACCAAGACAACTCTTTTAATAAAAACTGAAAATGCCTTCTGTCAGCTTTGAAATGAAAGCTTAACATCTAACATGTTATTTTTCTTTTTTGCAGTGTTGGCAGGAGCATAAGGAAGAAAGGCCAAATAGGACTTTAAAAAGGCCAGAAATGGCTAAAACGTTTGAAAATTAAAGCTAGAAAAGGGCTAACTTTTGATACTTTAAAATCTGTACTAAAAGAGTGAACAATTATAGTTCAGTATTCCGACTATATGATACCCTAAATCAATGATATTCAAAAGGTCTAGCATGGCACTACATTTAAAGGTAACAATTCTCACAGAATTTGTTAAAAT